ACAATGGGGGCTAAAAATAAAATTCATGCCGTAGGCTACGAATGTTCAGAAACGTATATACCCCTAGTTTATATTACATCGGAGCAACACAGTGATGGAATGCTCTCTAACCATGCATTTGGTCAAGAGTTCAACTTCCATCTTTCAAAAACCTCAGACGGTTCACTGATGATGGTAAGACCTGTAAAGAAGGAAGCTATGGGTATGAGGCTTACAACCTCAACCCGTAAAGACAATACCATGACTACTGAAAGTTCAACGTTTCAAGCCTAAAGACCTATTTTCCACGAAAAGTCATGAAAAGAGGAAATAAGGATCTGTGTTTTTTATGAACACAAAGAATATCAATACGGTTCGAATGAGTTACTTTACCAAAAAAAAAACAATGAAATGAGATATAATCTATCTCATGTAAGTTTCTTTGCCAGCTAGAAACATTTCACACATACAGATCATAAACGTGCTTACCGTAGATATTTATGTTAAAGTTAATAGTGTATATACAAGTCTGGTTTTCAAACTGTATTTCTATGTTTTTACGAGTTTGACCACGGATTGATATCGGATAGAGAGCCATTGAAAACCAGCACTGGAGTACTGGACAGCTGTTCCGTCCTAGTTTGAGAATCATCGGCAGTACGCATCCATTCCATTGTGGTTCAAACCCAGGACCTTCTAGTTGCAAGGCAAGCTCGTATACCATTCAGCCACTGGGACCCAATTCAATGACCCACGAATTCTAACTTCTACCAATTCGTGATTTAGCACAACCACCAACCAATGTTATCGGTGGGACATCCATCCTCACACTTGACTGTGTGGACCTCACAGGTCACGACTTCTCACTAGAACTGTAGGAATCTCTATCCTGTAGCTAGTTGTCACTAGTGGGCATCAGATTAATTTTCTATAGTTAGTTTTTAAGGATTAAATTTGTTTTTACAAGTTCGCTCACGGATTGATATCGGTTAGAGAACCATTTAAGTTTCTGCAGCGACTGGATCCATTCTCCGGGGTAAAGTCTCTAGCTCCGTGCGAAACCTCTGTCTTTCCGAACTTAGAACCAGCCAGTACACTAGAAATCAATCACAGTACAAATATGAAGGGATTCAATTCTTCCACTTATCTGAACATCATAGAAACTACTAGTGGTGAGGATGAAGCAAACCAGGACAGACCTTCGGTGATCTGAAATCAACGTGTAAATCTTCTGCACTCAGCATTGTTTTTTTATCCTTCACGTTCCCCAGTGGAACATAGGGCTTCAAGCCAGAGGCTTGAAGTTTCTGTAGCAGTGTTTATTTTACAGGATGGGGTTGCTAGCCTCATGCCCAACCTTTCCTCTTCACCAGCATTATTTCTAGCTTAGCTAGGTAAAGTAGTGCGTCGGCCGGGGTTCGAACCCCGGACCATGTGCATGGTCGGCAAGCGTCCTAACTGCTATGCCATCGACGCACTCAGCATAAGAAATACGAGTTGTACTTCCAAACAGTGATGTGAAATCATTCAGTGTTTCCAATATAGTTCAGTGGTCTGGTCGGCAAGTCATCAGTAGCGTTTCAAAGAGGCCACTGAAGACTTTCATCAATAGTTCTCTTCACTCTGTACTGAAGATCAGATGTCCTACTGTAAAGAATAAGCGACAAGGAACTCTGGCCGTGAGACAAACCAGCTAACAAATGTGCAGATTAAAATGGAGATGGATTGTGAATATGCTGACCAGACCATTGAGCTACATCACAGACTATGCAAACACTCGAGTGGAACCTGGATTGGAAACAACAAGCTTGGTGACCGGACGAGATATGAAGGTGTTTATCTGAGGAGGGGATGAAAGCTTATAGGAAATAATGCAACCGGCTAGAAGGGAGACTGCAGACGATAAAGTTAAATGACGATGCGCTGTTAAAATACAGTGTTTCATTGGGAAGTCAAAAGATTAATGTCAACAACTAAGTATTCCCTTTCTTGATGTGTGCCTTAGCAGACGTAATGACAGATCTCTCAAAAGATCTATCCACAGGAAACGTACATGGAACGGACAACTGACTAATTTTTACAGTTGGGTGCCCATCTCCAGGAAAAGGAACGTAATTCATTCGCTCTGCTCTAGGATAAGGAAAATTTGTAGTTCTGATTCCGTTGACTCGGAACTTGACTTCTTAAAAGCCACACTCGCAGAAAACGGTTACCCCAACCGATTTATTGATAGCAACATGAAAGATAAGCAGTCTAAACTGGTCACCGACAGAGTTCCAAAGAAAACCTTATTCATGAACTAAGAATTCAAAGGTGATCAAGCTTCAGATATGCTCGAAAAGCGTCTCTCTAAACCAGTCAGTAAGACGTTCTATGCAGAAAAATTACATATGAAGTTCACTAGTCGCAAGTTGTTCTCTACCTCTGTAAAAGATAAGCTCCTCCGTCTGGCTGCCTCCATGTTCATCTATCAGTTCACCTGCTCTTGTGGAGCAAGGTACATTGGCCGTAGCTAGAGGACGCTTTCCACACGGATACAAGAACGTATTCCAGAGTGGTTTCACAAGCGAGAAAGGAAGTGTGTGCGAAGCTCTATTCTAGAACACCTGGACGACTCCTCTCACTCTGCCAACCGTGACAATGATTTTAAGATCATCTACCGAATCCATGCTAACTTCCCACGTTTTCTTTGTTACCGACTTCTTAAGACAGAGGAGGCCTTGACCATTCATGACTTTAAGCCAGACCTTTGTGTACAAAAGAAGTATGTACAGTCCCTACTTCTACCTAAGCTGTAGAGGGATAGACATTTATTTATCTTGTTTATTTAGTTATTCTATGTACCTTTTTCGTATTACTACGATTATTATTATTATTACTATTCTCGCTCTGAATTGTTTCCACTTGTCATTCTAAATCCAAAATTATTATTTTTTATTTTTACAATACTGAATTCTATCTTATCAAATTTCACACCATGTTATGCAATATTTTATATTCGCCTACTAATCCTTTAACTATGCACCCCTTTCCAACATCTATACATCTTGTAAATTATTCTATATATGACATTAATTATTTTGCCACTTGACATTTAACTATGATTATAATCACAAATATTTTAATCGCATTTCATAATACTACTATTATTTCATGTATTCACACCTTTGACCTAATTCCCTCACCGGATATAATTTTTATAAAAACCATTTATATATACGATTGTATAGCTTGATAATAAATTCGTTGAAAAGAGTCTCTTTGTTGAATATTGTGTTCTTAACAATAAAGTCAACCATTGAAATCAACAGGAATTCATATCACTGAAGTAAGGAAAAAGGAAAGGGGTTCAATGTAATAAAAACTGACTTCTGAACATATAAGATAAGCTAATACGATTTAAATAGCGAAGGCTATAACAAACTTATGAATACTGCCCAAACACGTCCTATATATATATATATATATATATATATATATATATATGAGTTTTAAGGACGCGTTAAAAACAAATTCAAGTCTCCACCCTTTAGTGTGTCTTGCGATACATAACTCTCGACATCTAATTTCACCCCTTGTTTGATCTGTTTCCTATAGTCTTCAACTTGGACAGAACGACGTCTCCTCCCTACATATATGACTACACATACATATAAACTGATAAAGAATATGGGTTACTCAAGTATTGGTTTGTAGAGATTTGATTGATTGGTTACAGGATTTCATCATGAGCTGAGATTGGTTAGAGAACCATTGGAAAACCTAAGACATCCGTCCTAGTTTGGGGCACTCCAGCAGTACGCACCTAATCCACCGGGGTTCGAAACCAGGACCTTTTTGGGGGTATTTTAGCAGCTTTCAAATTCTGTTAGGGTTAACACAACAGCATAAATTTCTATTCCACTTTACATATTAGATTGGCTGTATACAAAATGGTACGCAATGCTGTTTTAAGTCTTTGTTCAAACTTCCACTGATGCCTGTCTTCGCTGTGTCAATAGTGATGTTCAGATGGCCTGTCGGAAAGGATAAGCATCGAGGAACTCTGGGAGGAAACAACACAACACACAACAAAAAATCTGCAGTAAAGGGAGATGGATGTGATTTGTACATATATGTTGCAGACAATTCCTAATGACATCACAGGCCGAAGTGAGTGACTGAAGATGCCATGAAGAATATGGGAGAATGGAAAGAAAGTTTGTGACCAAGAGTATTGCTAGGCAGCGAACCAAGTGAAACGGAAATGTATGGCTTATGGTCCCAGTTCCTGTGGGAACTCAGAGGATGAACAATGATGACGAATAACAGTTACCTCAGAAGATACCCCAACATATACGAAACAGCTATTCGGTAAACGCTGGATGTTTCAATATTCACCTGTAATAATTCATGACAAGGAAGTACATGATCAGTACGCATTATCAAGTGTATTCCACGTCTTTATCATACATATTTTCCAATCTTATCAAAAATTGACAATAAAAAATCTTTATTTTCTTTTACGAGTTTGACGACGGATTGATATCGGTTAGAGAACCATTGAAAACCAGGGAGTACTGAACAGCTGTTTCGTCATCCTAGTTTGGGACTCATCGAAAATACGCACTCACTGGATTTCGAGCCCAGGACCTCCGGTTACAAGGCAAGCTCGTAGACCATTCAGTCACTGGCACCCAATCCAATGGCCAGTCTATGAATTCTGACTTCTACCAATTCGTGATTTTAGCGCGACCACCATGGGCCAGTGAATCGGGTCTCAGTGGCTGAATGGTATACGAGCCAGCTTGCCTCGTAATTGGAAGGTCCTGGGTTCGAAGCTTGGTGGTGCGTGCGTACTGCCGATGATTCTAAAACTAGGATGACGAAACTTCTGTTCTGTAATCCCTGGTTTTCAATGGTTCTCTAACCGATATCAATCCCTCGTCAAACTCGTAAAAACAAATTTAATCCTTACAAACCGACTTTTGAAAAAATCTTTATATCAAAATTAAAAGAAAAGTAAACATGACAGTCATTACTTTAGAACTTCAAGTACCCCATCTGCAATAATGTAGATATCACGAGCTATTTCACCTTTACGACAGATTAAATCTCCAGGTGTTAACACCAGTGGTCGCATTTTCAAGACGATATCATGTAGAAATTCTGGTCTGCATTCATGAAAGATTGTCACCTTTTTTTTAGAAAAAAGAAGCGGAAATACAAACAATACAAATTTGGAACAATTTTACTTAAAGAAAACTGTTAAAAATTAAGGAATTAAACCATTCTTTGACATCAGCGAAAGAATCACTGAATATCAGGATGTATTGGACATCTGCTTTTGTGGACTGACACTTGAAAATTCACCTACCGCTCACTCACTACTGATGATCTACAGGATTGAGTCTTTGGGGCTCTAGAGATGTGTGATTAGTAGGGCCCATTGTGTTGAGTGTTAGGACGGTCTGCTTAAATCACTGGACCAATAGAATTTCTATCCATGAAAATGCTCAATTGCTTCTGTATTTCATGTTGTTTTAATCATGCAATTATATCGGATGACCACTACATGAACTCACTCACATCTTTTGATTAGCTTTAGACAGAACGTTGTGCAACGTTTGATAGAAATGAAGAAAAAATGCATGGAATTTGTTCTCACTTCAAATGTAACAGAACCGATATACAAGTATTGGTTTGTAGGGATTTGATTGGTTACAGGATTTTGATCATGAGCTGACATTAGTTAGAGAACCATTGGAAAACCTGGGAGTATTGGACAGCTGTTTCATCCTAGTTTGGGACTCTTCAGCACCCACTGGGATTCGAACCTATGTAACCAGAAGTTCCTGGGTTGGAATCCCGGTGTGTATGTACTGATGAAGAGTCCCAAACTAGGACGAAACAGCTGTCCAATACTCCCAGGTTTTCCAATGGTTCTCTAACTAATGTAAGCTCATGATGAAAAACCTATATATATATATATAGCGGTTCGATCAATTGAAAATATACCTTGGCTTCGGTGGCTTGCTTTCTCCTGTTAAATCATGGTATACTTCAGATTTTCACTTTACATGCAAATCTTGTATTCACAGGAAATATACTGGATAAGATTTTATTTTGATAAATGACACAGTGTTTGTTATACAGTAATATTAACTGATGACGTTTCGAACACAACTTATCGCAGCCACTCATAATCATCATATCAAGACACTACTCACACAACTCACTTTCTTGCTTCATTTATATACATGAGTAAACATTGATGCGATTAGACATTTGATTGAATAAAATCAGTAATATAAGATGATAAAGTACATTCGGAAATAATAATATTAGTGTTATCAATCAAATACAGTCAGATGGGAAATAAGATGTTTTCATAGTAAAATAAATAAACAACTTGTTAGAATGTTATTATGTAATTGAATTGAATACATTTGAACATTATTTATTATCCTTTTCTGATTTGACTGGTGGGAATATCTTCCATACATATCTCTGGTATTTGCATTAAGTCATTTCTGTTGCATGTCTGTTTGTGTAGACTCGATGAACCAGGCAGGATTCAGTAATCATTCTCTCTCTCTCCACCTAAATATATTAATTCTTAGAATTTTGACTCTGTCCCACCCACCCTATTGTGTTGTTGTGTGTTAATGCATGCAGTGCTACTGCTGAGTGTTTTTTCTAAATTACTTACCTTCGTGGGTGAGGTCAATCATTCTAACCTTAGCTAAATTCTTATGTTCTGACAGGCAATCTCACTACTCCTGACCTACTAGTTTGACCTATGTAGTTTACCTGAGTCACAGTCCATGCAAGGTATTTTGTAAATTATATTATTTTATCTAATTGGGTCAACCTACAGGTTCCTTTAGCCTACAGAGCTTGTCCATGCAGTGAGTTTGTAGGTTTGAATGCCATCCTGATTCCTGGTTTTTTGAGAATCCTACGTAGGGTTTCAGATGTCCCCTCCTTATATGGTATATACTGTAGATGCCTTATATTCTTTCTTATTTATGTTTTCATTATTAGTTTCACCATTATTTTTATTTGGCTTTTGACCTTTTTCGATATTCTTAATGAATTTTATTGCATAGTTGTGTGAGTAACTTGTTATGATTATGAGCAGTAATAATTTGTGCTCGAAAAGTGGTCATCAGTAAATATTACTGTACAATACTGTGTGATTTACCAAAATAAAATCTTATCCACATAATGGAGTTATACTCTACCACCACAGTGCCAAAGTTTTATACTTATATCAAGAAATATTCTGAAAATAGAAATGCCGAGAATGTCTGTTCGGTGTGTTCACATATTCCCTGTGATACCGGTTCAATATTATTATTATCACTGTCAAGTACGTGCCGATGAGACTAGTCAGCGGCTGCGTTACACGCTGGCAGTTAGTAGGAGTTACAGTTTATGAGCTATTAAATTCAAACTCAGCAACCAAATGGTCAAACTGGATCGCCTCATAACTTGAAGGTCCTCATTTCGATTCCCCAATGGGTCGTATGTAAGTGGTGTTGAGGAGTCTTAAGGGAAGATGTCACAATTCTTGTCTAACTGAGGTCAGATCTTGGTTCAATATGTGAGAACTCAAGAAATTCAGCAGTTTTCACTCCCTCTCTACCTGATGCTTATTTGTTATTGAATCGATCTAGATAGTTTCTTTAAAGGAATTAACGTAAACCATCTCAAACTTTAGAAAACAGTTTGGAACTATTAAGTCAATCAATCAACCTTCGCTACTTTATAAAGACACTAACAACTCGGAAACGGCTCTCCCGAATCCCAATATTATCGAATTTTCTATTCCAGTTTAAAAAGTGATTCAACTGAAAATTAGATTGTTCAGTCGATAAAAGTTTCAGGAATTTCAGCAGAACGACACTGGTTGTTCAACAGGATAAAAATGTAATGAATTTTGTGTATACACTGGCAACTAGAGTGTACTTTTTATTAGTGAATAAATTCTACCAGTCAGACTTATTGTGTGACCGGTAACTAACACAAGAGAACCTTTAACGTGGTGGACTTTAAGTGAATGTTGAATAAATAGTTGGGCGGGATCTGTTGGAATACCTTGACCTTGATTTCGTGCTTTATCGCTTCTAGCATCCATACACTCACCACTCCATAACTGCTAGCTAGCATATCAGTACACATTTCAGTTGGAGGTCACTCGTGAACTGAAGGAATTCATTCGAAGGTATCTGATTGCAGGACTAAGTAACATGGGTTAGAATCCCTGAAAGGACTGACTAACTGACTGGTTTCAACTTAGGACTTCGCATAGATGTGCATCAGTTCGAGTTGCCACACTCCACTCCATGTAGCACACAAAGCAAGAGAAAAGAGTAAAGGGAGATTTAAAAGAGAAAAAGATAATTAACAGAAATGTGAGGCGTAAAGAATGGTAATATGGAAGAACAACAGAGCTTTATTGGATATTGTAAATCATAAACAGCGAATGTATCTGCGTCATCAATGAGAACGATTTTGAGGCATTTCACCAATTGTCTTCAGCCTTCATCGGTTCTTACCATCCTGACGACTTCAACCAGTCAGGCAGTCGACACCTGCCTACGTGACTGACTGTCGTGGATTTAATTGACTGATGAAGCCATGTGTCGGTTTGACCACCAATGGCTTTTTCGCAATCTGATCCTTTGTCAGTCAGTTATCATTGCCCGTCAACGAAGGCGATGTCTAGCCATATGTAACACATGTCATAACCATCTCAATCGGTGTAACTTCACAACCTCGTCGATTGATTTCCCCTCTCTACTTAACACTCGACACCTAACCTCAGTACTGCCCACCATATTATGCCAACTAACACGGGATTTATATATATATATATATGTAAATTTCAAAAACAGAAATTGAGTCTGGAAGATGAAAGAGTCATTTGTAGTGCGACTGCTGATCATTTGTTAGATAACATGCATGAAATCGATGTATGAGGTCCTCTATGATAACTAAAGTTCCGGATGGTTTCAGGCTGTTGTTGTAAAACGATTGTCACCAAATTATTATGAGCGAATTTATCCATTCAGAAGGAAATCCTTGTTAATCCTACTTTACATGGATAAACATACTTTACGTTATTTAATATTGTTATTTTAATTATATTTTGTTTTGAAAGTTTTATTTTCTACCCTAGTTTTGTTTTTATCTATGTTATTACTGTATTATTCCCTTGGCTTCCGAGTGGGACATAAAGCTTCACCAACACATCTTCAATTTCTCCTATTTTCTCCTGTCCTCTTCATCTGGATCCTCAATCACCCATAATCTCTAATGTTATCCTCCTCCTCCTCACCACACGATCTCCTATATTTCACCCTCACACCGACCACTGCCACTCGTCGCTTCTTATTTGGATTCCACTCATGATTTGGCCTGCAGAACGCGCGATTTCATTTAAATGCCTTCTCAACATATGCCCAATCCATCTCTATTTTCTAATAAACATTTTCTGAGCAATCGGCTTTTCGTTGGCTAGTTCCTACAGTTTCTTATTGCTAATTCTTTCTGGCCGTCTGATTTATTTTCTAGAGTATTCATATTGTCTCACATACCACCGATTGCACTCACCCTCGAAACCTGTATTCTTTTAACTACATATATATATATATATATATCATGTTCTCATTGACCATGCATATTGAAAAACAACTGACTCTTGTTCCACCCCATCTTACTTATACTTGTTCCAAGATACACATTTCTGATATGATTCTAATTTGCCTTTACTGACTGGCTGGCTATTGTATGCTTAAGTTGATGGACTTATAATCCTAGAGCTTGCAGAAGAAGAATTTATTGAAAGCACAATTGTTCGCTCTAACTATTTTTGCTCTGAATTATCAGTTCAGTTATAAAAACTATCATCTCATTTCGTTTCTATGCTCACCCCGTTTACACCTATATTCTTTAGAGACTTATTTTCATTTATTATTTTAACTGATTGAAAATGCCCATTAAAATTTTCAAAAGAATGATACTGAACAAAGAATGCTCTTTTCGAAACTTCATCATCAGCTCTACAGTTATACATCCATCCATAATAGTGAATGAATGATTTACATAATAAAAGAGTTAATTTAATACAGATAGTGATGCCTTTCCGCTTTCTTTGTCATGTGTTTCTTGATAAATTTGTCGGGATAGCTATTTTCGATCAAAGTATCATATACAATGTTTAATTCATCTTCAATTACTTCTTCTGAGCATATAGCTCTAACTCTGTGGCTGAGGGTCTTTATTAAATTTCTTTTGTACTTGAGAGGAAAGAAGCTGTGAAAATGTGTATATTGTCCTGTCCAAGTACTTTTCCTATGCAAATTTCTTTTTATTAATTAGTATATCGAATAAATGAGATCTTTCGATAAGGTTGTTCAAAGTCCATTTTCTGGTTATTTAGAAATAAATATAAGATTTAGTGCCGTCAAATTTGAAATTTACATTCATGGTACACCTTAATAACAATTCTTTTAGGATTTCAGTACGGATGCCAATGTTTATCGACTGGTTATCCACTTGTTCACATATGTAGTTAACTGTTTCTACTAAAGGTACATTTGTGAATAAAGATGTTATGTCCAGAGATATCATGCTTTTGTCCTTGATATTAATATCCTTGATTTTGTTTACGAATTCAAATACATCTTTGACGCCATATTTCATTATCTTTCATGCAAAGGTTGAGAATATTAACTGACCATCTAGCTAGAGCATGTATGATGCAACTATTTTCTTTGTAATCCTTCAGATGCATATTAAGTTGCAAATTGTCATCTCCTTTCACCTTCTACATTATTATCTTGAATTAAATAATGATAATTGCATCTATGTAAACTGATGTATATTACTGCAATTGTACAACTGTTTTGAAATCGCCAAAAAGATAATCGTCTCCGCTGAACTTTTTGTTTTTTTTTCTCTAATGTCCTGATGGGTATTTTCCACGATTCAAATCGATGGAATTCAATGATTGGAGGCAGTTGGCCACAGGAAGTCCAGCATGCTAACCCAGGTTTCGTGCTAATTGGAACTCGCCAGTCAGCAAGGAACTCATGTCCCTCCTTCTGAGATTCGAACCCGCATCACCTAGTGCTTCAGTCAGTCAGAGACTTTACCACTGAGTTAGCTATTCAGGCTCACGATTGACTTCCTGTAGGAGTGACTGTATTGGATATTGCACATTGCAAACTTGACTGGTAGAACTCAGTCTGCACCAAAGATAGGACTAGACCGATTACACTAATTACTGACTAGTGTTCAATCAAAAATATCCAACACAGTCCTACAGGAGGTCAGTCGGACGAGCCTGAATAGCTCAGCGGTAACGTCTCTGACTGCAGCACTGGGTGACGCGGGTTCGAATCTCAGAAGGGACATCAGTTCCTTCAAGGTTGCAGATACGCCTTGCTGATGAGTGCTAACATTTAGAACGAAATCTGTCAGCTTTCTACCGATTGCCTCCAAACCATAAATATCAAACATTTATCAAAATCGTAACCAGGCTAGTAAAAGAGAACGAAAACATGTATATAGTTCAGTGACAGAACATCTGGTCAATTCAGGACATTCAGCGCCTTGAAAAATCCTTCAAAGTAATATACAAGATTCAATCAAACATATCAAAGGGAGTAAAATCAAGACATCTGGGCATAGCCGAGGCACTATCCATCCAAAAGCTCAAACCCACGCTATGTATCCGAAAGAAATACGTCCAACCCTTGTCCCTGCCATGGCCATCATAAACAGGTAAATTTTTTAGTATTGACCATCCCATCACCTTGTTATCTAATTTTCCTGTTTATTCATGTGATTTTAAGTTTTTCTTAATCCTTATTTATACTACCATATTTTCATATCCGAACTTCCTGTTTATTTTGTCATTTTATTATTCCTACATATTTAATCCCTGATAGCATAAGCAGTTATTCGTCATATTAGTTGTGACCCCATTAGATTTTGTATCCAAACCTCCTGTCTATTTTCGTTATTTCTACATTTCTAACCCGCAAATTCACAATATGTCAATCTTCTTAATAATTATGATGCTACTTTGTTTAAGTTTTATTCATGCCTCACCCCCTGTTTATTATGGCATTTTAATTTTCTAATTGTAATTTTATTAATTTGCCCCTTGACGGGCAATTATTCTGGAGCTTTCCCACCAATTTATTATAATTACATGAATGTATAGCCTGGCTGACGGTGACTTCATCGAAAAGGAAATTTTCTTCTCTGCAATTGTCTTTCTCCGTGATTTGAGCCAAATGTCAGTAAATAATTCAATCTCTATTTTTTTTAAACACGTTTATACAGTCAATATTACTGAAATTAAAGTATAACTTACTTTTTTCAATGTTTCTAAATTCACATTTAATGCAAGCTCTGTTTTCAGTTTATCCGGTAGCATGCCTAACGAATTGATATCTTGACCACCTCCACTTCCTCTGAGCAAAAAATAATAGACGTTATTTTTAAATAAAAAGCTAAATTTTAATATAGGATTAAACAACAGCATTGAAATTTGAACAATTATGCTACATTGAAACGTTGAACAATGGATGGGTATTAATAAAAACCACCATCACATATATATACACATATATATTTTAAGGAATTATATCCTGTAAGGGAATTGAATCATACGTGTAAATACATAAAGTAATAATAGTACAGAATGTAATTAAAATGTTTGTGGTTGTAATCGTAGTTCAGTGTGAAATGGCAAAACAGTGTAGTCCTGATACTGTGGAGGAAGAGTTAGATATTGTAAGAAAAATCCTTATAGAAAATGGAATTCCGTCATGTTTTATAGACAAGAAAATGCAGTCAAAACCTATGAATTGTGATTTATCATCTGTCATCAAGAAAATACCTCGCATTAGGTTGGAATTTAAAAGTGACTTAGCTTTGGATATCATCATTAAAAGAAGGGTCTCACAGTCCCTGCTGCATCTTTGAGAATAGCCTTTATCAGTCGACAATTACTGTTCAATAGCGTGAAGGACAAGATCCCGCAGCTGACCAACTCTATGCGCGTTTAACAATTCATCTGGTAGTGTGGAGCTAGGTATATCGATCGTTCGAGTCGAACTTTGTACAGCATGGTGCAAGAACACTATCCTGCATGGTTACGAAGAAGTGAGAGTGGTGGAATAAAAAGCGCGATCATTGAACATCTGGTCGATGATGATCACTCTATCTCTACAGCCTCCGCGCACAACTCCTCAAGTACCTGACTCATCTGTATTGCTGAAGCTTCGACCATTGAAACAGAAAAGCCACATCTCTGAAAATACAGAAAAAGTTCGTTCAACCCCCCCCTCCAACTTTCATGGTCTTAATCCATCTATGTTAAAGTATGATAATCCCTAATCATATTTTCGCTCTACTAACTTTTTCGTTTTGTTTACTCAATTTGTATACTCTTCCTTTATTACGTCAATTGTTACTATTGCCATTCTCACTCTGAACTATCCCGGTATAAATTTCATTTGCTCCACTTGTCATTCTAAATTAATTCTGTTTTGCAACGTTCAATTCTATGTTATCAAATTATACGCAATGTTACGTAACGTTTTTATTTTATATTCCATTTGCCTTCTAATCCTATTTAATGCGATTATACAGCCATGTAAATGAATTCACCGGCGAAAAGAGTCTCTTCGCTGAATGTCTTCTCTTTCACATTTGATGACGCAAACAATAATCCTAACTTATTTTTATTTGTGTTTGACAATCCTAATGTACGCACACATACAAAAATAAGTAGATATAATTGTGATTGTACAGCTAAGTGAATGAATTCACCGTCGAAAAGAGACTCTTCGCTGAACTTTTTATTCTCATATATTCATGGGTATATTCCGTGAAACTCTAACATTCTATTCTGTCATAGATAAATGTCACGATAACAGCAAAATAATCACGGGAAAGATCTAAAGACAGTCAGAACCTCAATTTATGTCATCTGGGGCAGGAGTGTTTCAATTACAGGTGACAGCATAGAAAAGGGATGTCAAAGTTATTTAGAATAACATCGAGAAAGCAAGACAAGCAGTCATTTCTCACCTGGAGGATTGAAGAAGAAGGAGTGCTTCCAATGGATATATACATACGGCATTCTGTCAAACCTTTCAAACAGAATTCAGACTCGCCTTTATCAACACATAGCTCCAAAGCCATGGGAATTTCAGAAGACAATTGCAGTCTTTCTATACAAAAGACGTTTATTCTGTCTTTGTGTCTTCCTTCACACGAGTAAATTTAATGAACTAAAATTAAAACTTTTCTCACCCTTTTTTACTCTTCACTTCTTTATTACTTTTGTGTAATGTTTCAGTTAAATTGGTTGGAGGATTTCATCATGAGCTGACATCAGTTAGAGAAACATTGGAAAACCAACTGGAAGTACTGGACAGCTGTTTCCTCCGTCCTAGTTTGAGACTCTTCATCAGTAGGCACCAACAGGATCACTCCATGTTGTGAATTGGTAGAAGTTAGAATTCATGGGCTGGCTATTGGATCGGGTCCGTGTGGCCTAATGATTTACGAACTTACAAGCCTTGTAACCAGGAGGTCCTAGGTTAGAACCCTGGCAGTGGGTTGGGTGCATACTGATGAAGAGTCCAGAACTAGGACGGAAGAAGCGGCTGGCTGTCCAGTACTTCCAGTTGGTTTTCGAATGGTCCTGTAACTGATGTCAGCTCATGATGAAATCCTCCAACCAATCAAACAAACAAAATTTCCCACAAAATCAATACTTGAAAATTTCAGTTGAACTCCAACTCTCTATCCACTTCATCTTTAGTGTTATGTAACTTTTAATTTTCTAAGATTTTGAACTTATTTATCTAGTGACTTGCTTAAATTATCATACTAAAAAAGATGACTGTAAATGATCTCACATAAGTGTAAAACTTGGGCACTGTAGCAGAGCATAACTCCATTATGTGGATAAGATTTTATTTTGATAAATCACTCGGTGTTATACAGTAATTAATATTAACTGATGACCACGTTTCGAGCACAAATTATTACTGCTCATAATCATATCAAGTCACTCACACAACTTTTTACTTCATTTATATACATGGGTGGAATTGGTGATTAGACATTTTCAAGTATTGGTTTGGTAGGGATTTTGTTTAATTGCGTGGAGGATCTCACCATGAGCTGACATCAGTTAGAGAACCACTGGAAAACCAGAAGGTCCTGGATTCGAATCCCTGTGGGCACGTACTGATGAAGAGTCCCAAACTAGGACGAAACAGCTGTCCAGTACTCCCAGGTTTTCCAGTAGTTCTCTAACCGATTAGACATTTTAATAAAATCAATATAAGTTAATAAAGTACATTCTGAAATATGAGCGTTATCAATCAAATACAATCAGATGGGAAATAAGACGAGTGTTTTTATATTTAAAATAAGTAACTTGTTAGAATGTTATAATGTACGCGAAGTGAAATAAAATTTTATGATTACTAATTATCCTCCTCTGATATGACTGGTGGTAATAATATCTTCAATATCTCTGGTATTTGCGTTGAATCACTCCCATTGCATGTGTTGTGTTGGGTGTGTAGACTCGATGAACCAGGTAGCATTCAGTAATCAACGTCTGTCTCTCTCCACCGACCTATATTACTCTGTAGAATTTTAACCCTCTCCCTCCCATTATTGTGGCGTTGTGTGTTAATGCATAGATTGCAATGTAGTGCTCAGCTTTTTTCTAAATTACTTATCTTCGCGGGTGGAGTCAACCATTCTAACCTTAGTTAAATTCTTATGTTCCGACAGTCTGACTACCCCCGACCTACTAGTTTGACCTATGCAGTTGACCTAACAGTCATTGCAAGGTATTTTGTAAATTATATTATTTTGTCTAATTGGGTCAACAGGATGTTTTAACCTACAGAGGTTGTCCTACATGAGTGAGTTTGCAAGCTTAAATACCGCTATAATTCCTTCTTTTTTAAGAATCTGACGTACGGTCTGAGATGTCCCCTCCGTCCTTATATGGTAAAACTGTAGATGTCTTATATTCTTTCTTATTTATGTTATCATTACTAGTTTCACAATTATTTTTATTTTGCTTTCGACCTTTTCTGGTCTTCCTAATGAATTTTATAGGACAGATGATCTGGACTTCGTGGATGATTCATGCCTAATGTCACATAAACGTGAAGAATTACTGAAAGAAAATCAACGAGTTGTCAAAAGAAGTAGCAGAGACAGGACTTCGAATGAACGCAGAGAAGACAGAGATTAACCGACAACTAAAATCAAAACAACTGGTGATTCAGCGAAGAGACTCTTTTCAGCAAATTTATATATATATATATATATATATACGTGGTTTATTTAAGAAATTATATGCGTTGAGGGATTTAGATCAAACGTGTGAATACCCACTTCGATAGCCTAAGCTTCAGCAACACACGTGGTGATGCGTAGTGATTTGGGCAAATTACTTTTCACCTTGTAGATAACTTTGAAGGCGGAGGCTGTAGAGACTGGGTGATCATTATCAACCGTATGTTCAATGATCGCGCCTCTTATTGCTCCACTTCCATCTTTTTGTAACAACCATACAGGATAGTGTTCTTGCATCCTCTTGGACAAAACTCGAGTCTATATTTGACATTAATTTGCTTTGCCACTTGACATTTAACTATGATTATAATCACAAACATTTTAGTTTTAATTGCATTTCATACTATTATTATTATTTTATGCATTCACACCTATGATTCAATTCCCTCACCGGATATAACTTCTTAAAAACCATATTTATAGATACGATTGTACAGCTTGATGATAAATTCGTTGAAAAGAGTCTCTTCGCTGAATCACCACTTGTTTTGATTTTCTATGTTACAATGGGAATTTTCCATGATTTTAAAAAAGCATCAATCACTATCAACGGAAGGAATTTGGAAGATGTTACTTCTTTCGCTTAGTCAGGCAGCATCATGATTTCATAGCGAAACCAGAATCGGAAAGGCATGGAAGACCTTCTTCATTCTGAAATCAGTTAAGAAATCTTTTGCCATATATACTCAGCATAGAAAACAAGATTCGGTGGGTTGTTTGAACACTAACGCTAAGTCAGTCAGTCGCTTATTCTATATGGGTCAGAAACTTAACACGTAGCATAAAGCATTGCTGACAGGCTACTGCAAACTTTTATCAACAACTCTGCCTTTAAATGACCAGAAAGAATTAGCAACAAGAAACTCTTACTGGGAACAAACCATTCAAGAACCTGTTAGTCAGTAAATATGCAGCGGAAAATAGTGATGTATTGGACACATGCTGAGGAGACCGTCGCGCCCTCGAGTGGAATCCGAATAGGAAATGACGAGTTAGGCATTTGTCCAAGTGTGATATGGAGAAGATCTTTTAAGTGGAAGATGAAAGTTGATCGCCAATCGTAGGACCAGCTAAAGAGAACTGTGAGGAACAAAGTGAAAAGAAGATGTACTGTTGAAGCACTATGTTGCATTATGAACCCCAGAGAATAGAAAATCAACTCACATACACCAAATACTCACTCAATTACAACAGCAAAAATCCAATAACACTCAAAAGGAATTGTATACAAACATTATTCAAGAGGACCAGGACTCATTGTAGCACCCCCACATTAAGGCAAATTGAAGAAAGATATCTCATGGACGCCAGTCTTCAAAAGAATGGATATCAAAGGAATTTCATCAAAAGACATATACCCTCAAGCGAACTTACCAAATCAAAGGTCCCCAAGGAAAGCACAAAGAAAATCGCCCCACCATATATAAAGAACATCTCAGAAATCACTGCAAGACTCTTCAAACCTTTAGGAAATGATGTCGTACACAAACCAGCAAAATCATTTCACTCAGTTCTATGTCAACCAAAAGACTCAACAGCAAAAGAAGGATCAAAGTTCTAATCAAGGAAACAATTAGTACCAATACAAGTAGCCGCCTATGGGGTGTGAAAACACACAAAAACAACTAATCATGTTCAAGGTCAGGTTGCCAGGACAGATGACTAATAAACTCGTGGAGAAATCTAAAAGGTTGTTGCCTAGTGGTGGGCCAATGAAAGCTTCGCAAATAAATCATCCAGCTAGCTCAGAGAACACAGCTACATTAAAATCATCCACCTGAGCTACAAACCTTCTCCATCATATCTACATTGTCATATTTTCATCCTTACTTATATCACCACCCATCATCTCGATGTTGTTGTAATCCCTAATCAGTGACTGTACTTTCACCGAAACTAGAATCCAGCATGCGTCGTGTCGTAAGACGACGCATTATCCACCAGACCACTTTGATCACGAGTACTTGTACTATTGCCATCACAGATTATATCATTATTGGTTACAGCATTTCATCATCAGCTGACACTGTTAGAGAACCATTGGAAACCTGGCGGGGAGTACTTAACGGCTGTTTCCTCTATCTTATTTCGGGACTCTTCAACAGTACGCTCCCACCGGCATGGTTCGAACCCAGGACCTGCAAGTTACAAAGTGAGATCATAGATCATTAAGCCACTGGGACCCGCTCCAATGGCCCATGAATTCTAACTTCTGCCAATTCACGATATAGCGCAACCGCTATCCAATGTCTACGAGCTCGCCTTGTAACCAGAAGATCCTAGGTTAGAACCCCAGTGGGTCGGGTGCGTACTGATGAAGAGTCTCAAACTAGTACGGAGGAAACAGCTGTCCAGTACTTCCAGTTGGTTTTCCAATGGTTCTCTAACCAATGCCAGCTCATGATGAAATCCTGTAACCAATCAAACAAATCCCTACAAACCAATACTTGAGTATATTATTATTATTACTGATATTATTATTATTATTGTAATCATCATCGTTATTGCTGAGGTATTTACAGCATTTAACATTTACTATTTTTGTTCCACAGCATCGGTGGCACAGTGGCAGAATGTTTGCCAACCACGCCACAAGTGGTCCGGGTTTGATCCCCGGCCACCGACGCACTCCTTTACCTCGCTTAGCCAGTAATAAGACTGGTAAATAGGGAAGGTTGAGCATAAGGCTAGCAACCCTATCCCTTAAAAATAAACACCACTGCTACGGAAACTTTAACACTCTAGCTTGAAGCCCTATTTTCCAGCACTGGGAACATAAAGGAAAAAAATGGAATTTTATTCCACAAATTTGCGAATTGTTCTCCGTCTGTATAAAAGATAACCCCCTTCATTCAGCCTCCTCCATGTATAACTATCACTCTTCCACTATCTCGATGGAAGATACACAAGCCGAAGTCTGAGAATGCCTTCCATACAGATACGAGGTCACATTCTAGCATAGTTTTAAAGTGGAGAAAGGAGATGTGGGAAAATCTTTATTCTGAAAAACTTAACGAGCTTCCATCAGTCAACCAACTCTGACCATATTTTTCAAATTATCTATCAAATTCATGCAAACTTGCCAAGTTTTCTAAGCTCCAAAATTCCGAGGAAAATTAAGGCTTTGGCCAGACATGAATTGAAGCCATAAACTTTGTTTACCAAACAAAGCTTGAACAGTCTCTCTTTCTAACTTGATCGTAGAGGGATAAACATTTGTTTATTTATTTTCCATTTTGTTTATTTAATCGGTACACTTTTCCATTATTACTATGATTATTACTTTTGCTTCCAATGTGAACAGTTTTCGTGATTCAGGTGCTGATTTGCAGGAATTTGATTGGTTACAAGATTGAATCATGGGCTGATAACGGTTAGAGAACCACTGGAAAACCTGAGATTACAGGACAGCTGTTTCTCCCTAGTCTGGTACTGTTCAGGAGTACGCACCTACCGGTGCTCGAACCCAGAACCTTGCCGTTAAAAGGGGAACTCATCCTAGAAGATCCTGAGTTCGAACCCTGGTGGTGGATGCGTACTACTGAAGAGTTCCAAAAAAGGCCGGTGTAACAGCTGTCCAGTGCTCCCAAGTTTCCGATGCAACTGATAAGATTTATCAGTAGTATGTGTGAAGAGATGTTCACCGGCATAAAAACATCAAATGGCAGGGAGATAGATTGTTGAGGATTAACTGGATATTCATCGTGGATTTTAACATTGATTCCTTAACTTTTCCAGGTGGGATTCCCATTTCTATCTTCCGTTTCAAGAAGTGAAACGTTGTTAAGCAATAACGCTGCCTCTGGTGATACAAAACTTAATGCATCCCATTCGCTGAATTCCACCAGTTGACGATATGAAGGTTCCAATAACTTTACTAACCAAATAGCTGTTGGACGAGAGGGAAAGCGGGACATATACAGAATAGGACACTATTGAACACCAGAGTTTTTCTGTGCAGTTTTGCTAAACCATAAAGTTTCGGTATTTATGTACCAGAGGGTGTTAATTCGTGAGGCATGCGCTTGAGAATCAGATTCCCCTCCACAGGTGATTTTTATCGTAGTCTCTTGGAGCTCCATAGTTTTAGCAGTACCTTGAAAATGATTTCAACCATACCCTACTTAGCTCGTGTTCTATGCGATAAAGAAAGCATGAGGCGTGATACCTATAACTTATTAAACAGTTGGTAGAACAAATGGATCTCATCTTTCCAACTCATATCATTCATAAGCACAACCTTTTCTCTCTCTCTTTTCTGTTATGTGCTGCTTTGTTTCATTCTTCCGCTTACGCCAGTAAATATGACAGCACCTACTTTTCTAACACCAAATACTGTTCAGTTTTGGCTTTGCTACCGACATGCCAATATGTTGTTGTCATAATGAACTGTGATTTCCTTAATCTATGTAGAATTCTATTTATTGATAATGTACTAACTGGATGCAATACTGTAGTAAAAATGCTGAGAATTCCATTATGTATCACATGTACTGTTTTGGAATAAAGCAAATTATTATTATTATTATTCAATTTTGAAATTTTGTTTGATCAGTGAGAAGAATTTCTAAGCACCTCATCGATGAAAGGCAAACAACGACAACTGCATGTATATGTATTCGTAAATAGTGTATTGTGGGTTAAGAGTTAAATGCTCGCCGACCACACCCCACATGGCCAGCGGTTCTATTCTCCATCAACTTCTAAGAACCTAGCCAGCAGTAAACCCGAAAAAGAGAGGAGGCTAGGCGTGAGGCTAGCAATCCCCAACGTGTGAAAATAACACTTCAGCGCCTCATGTTTCAAGACCTAGGTTCCACTCGGAACTCAAGGAAGGACAAGGCGTGTTCATGATGGGTTCGTCCAACAGTCAAACAGTTAACAACCCTAAAGAGGACAGTCCTCAGTAAAGTTGAGTGAAACAAAAAATTCTGATACCCGTCACTCACAAAGACGCCGGACAATGATTTAAATTTATTTTAAAACTATTTTGAGGGTGTAAAAAGTTTTTAAAAAGTGTAATAAACTTACTTTGACCATGCATAATCATACCAAAGCAGGATACGACTTTGAAGATCTTTACTGACTGAATTTGTACGCATATAACTTTTAGCATTGTCCTACACACATAATGCATACGTAGGCATAAAATTAGAAGAAGGAAATATGCAGTTAGCAAAATGATTATGTTCAAATGAAAAACTGTATATATTATAATAAAGGTTTTTTTTATTTAACAATGAATGGAAAAGAACAAAACAATATTGTTGTTTTTACGAACATTTCGCTATTTAATGCAACTAGTAGCTTTATCAAAGTATTATAAAACCAAAATTTACAAAATCTTGGAAGGAGTGGTGTTGTATACTGTATCCTTCCATGATCAACTCAAAACTGGATAAATACCCTGCTGATATCACCTCCAACTGCGTTTATGAATTTACGTGCACTTGCAGGAGCAAGTACATTGGAAGGACAGAAAGAAGGGCTTCTATCCGGTTTTCTGAACATATTCCAAGAAACCTATGCCTGAAAGGAAGCAAATATTCTCAGAGTGCAATTACCAGACATATTGTTGATACCGGACATCTCGTAGAGATCTCTAAGTCCTTCAAACTATTAAATAGACAAAGGACAGCAAATTTACTACGATTTGCCGAAGCGATCGCAATCAAACGATTTAAACCAGACTTATGCATACAGAAACAGAGTGTGATTAACCGCTCACTCCCTTAGTAACTGAATTCTGATTTTGATTAGTCATCTAATTCAGTGATCTCAACTCACTGAGCAAATCTCAATCTTATAAACTGTAAATGCTTTTGTTTTTTGGAGCTGCCATGTGAACCTACAAGATAACACTGTTTCTGGTAATCAATTTTTCTGTTTTCTGTCTCACCCCTCCCCCCTCTTTTCAACTCTGAAAGTGTATAAATTGATGATGATAACTTAAACCAAAATTTGTAATGCTTTCATTCTTTTTTGGATGCGTCAATTTTATCTCTTCTCTACTACTAATCAAACATTAAAGTATGTTGTTATCATTTATATAACCATTGTAATTTCAGGTAGTCTGCAGATGATGAGAACGTGTGAAATAGAATGATATCAATTTATACTGCAAATTTCGTCTTCCTTTCTTTAACGAAATTTATCAAGGGAACCAGTTATATGAAATACTATTCAGACAATTTGGATTCCACTTGATATGAAGTGCTTCTGATGATATAAGACGTTCTTTGTGATTTCTGAAATGCTTTTTCTGGATGATGATTTCAATATTGTAAAAGTTAATTTTGTGACCTGATTCTATAGCATGTAGACGACCTATGGCTGACTGATGATTTTTCAAGCTTGTCTAGTTCAACTGGATTTCTCGGTGGTCGAACAGATACGGCTCTACGGTGTTCATTTCCTCTGATGTTGATTTCTCTCTTGAGATGTTTGTCCAATGTATATCGCATCACATTCCAAGCACTTTATTTTATAGACACAATTAGATAGAGAATCTTTATGGATTTGACCTTTTACTTGGACAAGATTGCTTTGTATCAAATGGAGTCTAAATTTTCTGAGTGGGTGTGATGGACTAAGACAGAATTTGACCTGGTTACAACACCCTCCCCCTCCTGCATGAAATGACAAAATCAACACGAATGTGATTATCAATTTCACTATGTAAACACACGCTGCTTTCTTAATCCTATACACTTATCAAATCCGGCAGTCTACACTTGGTTTTATCATCTTTACCGATTGGCCAACTTGACAACGCAAAATGAACCCATACTGAGGGATGATGATTAAATTTGTTATATATATGCTGAGATTTTGTAAATTCCGGTTCAATAATACTTTGGTAAAACTATTAGCAGTATTAAATATCGAAACGTCAGTAAAAACGGCAATATCGTTTTTTTCTCCATTCATTGGGAAACACAAAAAAAACCTTTATTGTAATGAATAACATTTACCCAATGCCCAAATTTTTTCAAACCGTTGAAACTGAACTTGGTTCGAACATTTATAAAAATCGTATAATCAATAATTAAAACAAAGTGACAGTTTTATATACCGGTGCATATGGTAGAGAAAGCAGAACACAGTAAATCTGTCAGACATGGAAAGATTCTTGGGATTTGCAACATTTGATACTGTAATCATAATTTTTTCAGGTGCAGGCCTTCAGTAGTGTTCACTATTCTTATTTTTAGTTTAATGATGTCAGACCTAAATGTTTGTTCTCTCTGTTGACATTTTAGCTCTTAATACAGACGTCTTGACGATGTATGAAGATTATTATGACCGAAAGGACTAGCAGTGAAATTCAGAAAGTGTACTTCGTCTTATTTGGGAGTCGTTAACCAAGCGGATCCTCAAAGGGTAGTGGAATTTCTCTGCAAGGTGTGATCTTTCATTGCATATCGTTATCCACTTGCCCATTAGGTCATGACAGCCACCTCTTGTACTAAAACGTGTCATTTAAGCATTTTTAATTGACTGATTGTTTTGGACAGGAATAATCATTCCCTACAGCCACATCCAGCTGACAAGTTCACCAAATTAGAACAGAATGTATATCCTAGATTTCACTACGTGTCACCACCAACCAAGTAACAAAAGTTACCTAAATTTAAAATGACCACAAATTGGATTTTTGTCCAATGTTAAACATTTTAAAGGTTGCTTCACTTCAGCTAGTGAGGTGGAACTTTGTTCTTCTAAGAGGTAGAGTCACCATATACACCTAGCGTTAATGTATATCCACATTCAGCCTACATTTAATCAACATAATTAGCGAAAAGAGGACGGTACAGTAAGAAGAAATGTATACAGGAAACGCACATCAATTGGTCAGTATACTCATTTTCTAAGGTCCGTACCTTTGAAATACAAACGCAATCTAATTAAATGCACCGTCCACACAGTAAGAGCAATCTGCCCGGATTAATGTCTCGATGAAGAGCTTAATATTTTCAATTAATAGTGTTCTCTGAGCTGGTTGGTTTAGTTGCGAAGCTTTCGTCGTCCTTCTCTACAACATCTTCAGCGCAATATTTAGCACTAAGTGAAATGATTTAAATTTCTTCATAAGTGATATAATTGCGTTTCCTGGTAACCATCTTTACATATGTATTGACCATTTTCTATTGACTTGGAATTTTAACTTTCTGGTCACCTGATTTACTTTTTATAAGTTGGTATATTTTGTCTATATTAACGTGAGTGTTAATTGCATTTTCGTTTGAGTACCAGGCTTCTAGAAATTACCTGGCATTACATTTGGTGTTTCCTCTGTCTAAAATTTCGACATTATTCCAATCAAATTGATGACCATAATTGTCTATATGCATTGATACTAAAGAATACATATCGTGTCTTTTCACGGCTGATTTGTGTTCTTGGATTCTAATTCGAAGGGGACGCCCACTTTGGCCAATGTAATGCTTGTTGCAGTTCATACAATTTATTTTGTAAATGGTATTAATTTTATCCTGTTTTTCTATTGGATTTTTCGGTTTGTATAATATCGAATTAAGCGATTTTACTGGCTTGTGTGCTATATCTATATCAAGCGGTTTCAGTATTCTAGCTGTTATTTCACAGATATTTCTCATGTATGATAGAATGAATTTTCTTGTGGTCTTTGATGATGGTTCCTTGTTGGTGTTGTAATTCGACTTTAAACACTTTTTGATGAAATTTTGTGGATAATCATTCTTTTTGAAGACGGTTTGTAGGTATTTTTCTTCTATTTTCAACTATGAAGTGCTACAGTGCATGTTTGAACTCTTTTAAACAATGTCTGCACAGTGTCGTTTGTGAGTGATTGGATTATTGCTAGTATAGATGAGTATTTGATCTGTGTGCGTTGATTTTCTATACACTTGTGTTTCTAAATCTCCTGTGTTGGTTCTCTTGATTAAGACATCTAAAAATGGGATTTTGTTATCTAATTCTTCTTCTCTTGTGAATCTGATATCTTCAAATATGTAGTTTATTAATTTGTGAGTATATTCTAAATCACTTTTCTTAATTATTATAAATGTATCATCAGCGTAACGTATCCAATTTTTCGGTTTAATTATAGGTAGAGCTATTAATTCTAATCTTTGCATAACGGCTTCAGCTATTATATCTGATATAGGCGATCCCATTGGTGTTCCTTTTATTTGTTCATATATTTGAGTATTGAACTGGAAGTATGTTGTAAGGCATAATTTTATGAGTTCTATCCAAGTTGATAATTGCGTTTTTGTGTTTTCATCACTACTGAGTAATTGTTGCATAGTCTCTGCTGCTAGTTTTGAACTAATTGAAGTATATAATGCTGTGACATCTTCATTTCACTTTGTGCTAAATGTGGCGCTGAAGATGTTGTCGAGAAGGACGACGAAAGCTTCGCAACTAAACCAACCAGCTCAAAGAACACTAATAATTGCAAATCATCCACCTGAGCTACAAATCTTCCCTATTATTTCAAGAGCCTAATATTACTAAACCGTTGTTGAGCAAGAACGGTTATCCAGGAAAATTCATAGATAAGAATATGAATCAAAGTTCAAGGCAGGTCAAAGTACCAACTGTTCCAAAAAGGCCTTAATCTGACAACTTCAATTCCTCATGGATTACATCAGAGAGATTTCAACAGAACGCGTAAGGTGAAAAGGGCATTCAATTTCGCTGAATCATGCCGCCAATTCAAAACCACCCTTATTTTTCGTTTGGGAGAAAAAGGGAAACTGCTTAATTTCTCCCCTTTCATATGAATCTACCAATTTGACTGCTCCTGTGGAGACAGTTACATAGGCCGTAAAAATAGGCGTGTTTATCGTCAGATTTCGGAACACCATCCTGCATAGTGTTTAAGTAAGGGACAAACAAAACCCACACATAGCGTTATTCTGTCTCATCTTGAGGATACAGAACACAAGATTGATGTTAACAAGGCAGCTTTCAAAGTCATCTACAGCATACCAACAAATCTTAACTTCGCCTTAAGATGTCCATCTACAACATATTACTGAGGTTTTTGGGGTTCCTATTAAATAACCTAACTTATGAACCCAAAATAAATTAGTTCAGACACTGTCCTTACCCC